GTGAATGTTTGTGTTCCCCTCTCAGGAATTATACCCACTTCCACCATCCCTTGTATGGGAACTGCTATACCTTTAATGACAACAGCAGCAGCCTATGGACATCCTCGATGCCTGGGATCAATAATGGTGGGTGAGAGGCACTCTTTTGTGAGTAAGGAGTATCACTTATCTCTGCTTTTCTTAGGAGTTATGGGCATCCTGCTGTGCTTAATACTGGTACTGGCAGATTACAGCCCTGCTCTGTCTCGCCCAAGCTGTTTTTGCCCATGTGGGGACAGCTGTTTTGAGGACATGGCTGTCCCTCACTGCTGCCCACTGAACTCTCTCTCCCCCATCAGTGCCTGATCCTTATATTGCTCTCTCTGGATTTGTGCTGGCCCTTCCTGAAATGTTGAGCCATAGTGCTGCGCTCCTGAGAGCCTGGTCTTCACCTCCTCCTTCTCTGTTTCCCTCTTTCCAGCAGCTGACCTGCTTGTGTTCCTAAACTCCATGAAACCTCTTGAGGCCAAATCTTCAGGCTTTTCTTCCATCCAACTCCAAGTCTTTCCATGAAATCTCTCTCAATTCCCAGTTCTGCTTTTCCTAAGATAGAGTGATGAAATTCAGCTTTCCCTGGCCTCTTCTGGAGCCTCCAGCTTTGCCTCTGGCTTCCCTCCAGCCACCCTTGCTGCCAAGCTTTGGTGCTCTGTTTGATGTCTATCTCTTCCTTTATCTCTTACAGATTCACTTCTAACCACTGTGCTCTCCCTACTCTCCAGCACCACAGCCAGCCATGACCTCCCTTGCTCTCTGACATTTCCTCAGGTCTCTCTCTGGTGGTGCGCACCGAACAGAATGATTTCATCCCTCTGTTGTCCACGGTGACAGGAGCCAGGGTCATGGTCCATGATCAGAATGAGCCAGCCTTCATGGATGATGGGGGTTTCAACGTGCGTCCTGGTATCGAGACCTCCATCAGCATGAGAAAGGTAAGGAAGCAGCAGGGGTAAGAGCTGTGGATGTGAGGTTATGGGGAGGTTTAACTTGGTGAATAGATACAGATGGGTTGTCATAGACCCAATGTGTGTTTAAGGGAGGGGATTAATCACATGGAGTGGAGGGAGAGGAAGAGCAGCTTAACGGACAAGAAGCATTTGGCTGCACTTTATCAGTGAACAAAGAAATGGAGGCATCCTGAGAAAAGCATAAAGAGTAGATACTGATAGCAGTGTGTGGCATGGAAGCTTAGGAAGAGGACAGCAAAGTGCCAGTTGTTCTACGCAATGACAGTTTGCTATTCCAGGAGATGACTGAGCGTCTTGGGGGCAGTTACAGTGACTGCACAGAGGATGGCAGTGATGTGCCAGTGCAAAATCTGTACTCATCCCGCTACACTGAACAGGTAACTGTCACCAGTCCTGTGCTGGCTTGTTTCCCTACTTTCCCGAAATATTTTAGTTCCCTAAGGGCCATGCTTGTCCATGGGCTCTGTTAATAGTATGATGTGATACAGGTTGCAGTGGGTTTGGTTTCCTTGCTGAGCCTTTTCCACCTCATGTGCCTCCCAGGTCTGCATTCGCTCCTGCTTTCAGCTGAACATGGTCGAGCGCTGTGGCTGTGCCTATTACTTCTACCCCTTACCTGAAGGAGCAGAGTACTGTGACTATACAAAGCACGTATCTTGGGGTAAGTGGATAGGAGGAACAGTAAAGCTCGTGCCCATCTGAACCTGTTAGGTGCACCCCATGTCCCAGTACATCTTACTGTCTTCAATGAGCTTCCTGGGGGAAGCACCCAAAAGACACTCTTGTCTTAGATTGTCAGTCCCTTGGAGCTTGTGGAAGGAAACCTTCTCTGGATTCCCCTTACTGTCACATATCACCTTTTATATAAAGATACTGTGAGCTTACCTGGATTTACTTTCTCTGCTGTTCAGGCTACTGCTATTACAAACTCCTGGCTGAATTCAAAGCTGATGTGCTGGGCTGTTTCCACAAATGTCGGAAACCTTGCAAGTAAGTTTGATCATCACTCAGGAAGACTGAAAACTTTTTATTTCTAGAAGTGTTGGAAAGCACTCACTGGCCAGGGCAAAAGCTTGAGTCAATAACTAAGCTGCCACCCAAAATCTCCCATCACGATGCCAAAATGACCAAGGAGCGTCAGGGTCAGCTTAGGGGTGAGCTCCCAAGGATTGTGCATTCTGCACAGTGGGAAGTAAGCAGAACTTCAGCATGGGAGGGAATCTCCAGGTGTGCCTGGAAATGGCAAAACCTGGCCTTGTGGCTCCTACAGCTTCAACAGCTAACACAATCTCTTGTCTTCCAGAATGACAGAATATCAACTGTCAGCTGGATACTCCCGCTGGCCTTCTGCTGTCTCAGAGGTAAGGAGATGGTGTCCTGGCTCCTCAGCACTGCTCCCACCTCCTGTTTAGTCCTTCCTCAACGGGTATTAAGCCTACAGGATGTGACTGTGATCATGTAACACAATTTATTGCACTTTCATTTCAGGACTGGGTTTTTTACGTGCTTTCGCAACAGAACAAATACAACATCACATCCAAGAGGTGAGAGCCCCTAAACAGAGATTGTGTCCACACCAGAAACCATCCCAGTGGAGTGTGTGTGTGTTAGGAATGTCAGAGTCAAGAATAAATCAATGATGGGAAGAGATCAGGCATGGAACCTGTGGACAAGGCCAGTGGATTTGAGTCCAAGTAGATACATTCTGAGACTTCAACAAGGATTGGGGATCCAAGTGAAAAATTTGAAAGGGGTCAGATGCTGGTATGAAAACAGTAAGCCCCAGGCACCTGCCATGTAGTCTGGAATCACAGTACGTGCTCTTGGAACAGTGGGAAGGAGAGCTGGGCAGAAGCTTTTGCCACCAACATTGGGTTTCACAGTGCAGTCTCAGAAGTGTGCTGGAAGTACCAAAGATTACATTCAGTGCAGAATGAGGGAACTGCAGAGATGGGAAAAGGCCTCTGGGTGGTATGTGTGGGAGAAGGATGGGGGCAAAAGGAGACAGAGAAGAAAATTACACTTGGTGAATGAGGTGAAGAAATGCAGGGATTGAGGAGTTGGGGTTACTGAGCCTCATCTTTCATTTACAGGAACGGAGTTGCCAAAGTGAATATCTTTTTTAAGGAGTGGAACTACAAGACCAATGGGGAGTCTCCAGCCTTCACGGTACATACTTTATTACCATGTCTTCTCTAGCCACCCATTCCCCCACAATGCCACGTGTTTGTTCCAGCAGCATTGCTGGCTATTCAGTCTCTTTTCCTGTGGCAGGGTGAGAGGAACCTCCCAGCACTACAGGGGCACTGCTAGTGGGAAAAGGCAGGGAGGCAAAAGTCTTGAATGAGGGCTGTCCTCACTGCTCTTTCTCCATCTCTTGCAGGTAGTGACTCTTCTGTCCCAGCTTGGGAACCAGTGGAGTCTCTGGTTCGGATCCTCTGTCCTTTCTGTGATGGAGCTTGCAGAGTTGATTCTGGATTTCATTGCCATCACCTTTATCTTGTCCTTCCGCTGGTTCCGTTCCCGGCAGAAGCTCTCTCCACCGGGACCCTCTCCAAACAGTCATGATAACGCTGCTTTCCAGGATGAGACATCAGGTCTCAGTGCTCCACATCGCTTCACTGTTGAGGCTGTAGTGACCACTCTGCCATCCTATAACAGCCTGGAACCACGTGGGCCAAGCAGGGATGGTGAGGTGGGACACAACTGAGGCAGCAGCTTATTCCACCGTTCAGATGGGTGGCAATTGGAGCAAAGGCTGCACACTTTGCTGTGGGACCTGTGTTTCCTTCCTTCTTGGGTGCTGCACCTGAATCATAGCAGAAGACTGCTCTGTGGTTGGCCTGGGTTCATTGCTTTCACTACAGTAGGTGAATTACTCAGTCTCATAAAATACTATTGCTCTGGGGATCACCAGGGATGACAGTTGATCTAGTCTATGTATGGGGGAGATGTCCTCTTAATTTCCTTACACTCTGTAAATGTGCACACCTACACATGCGTGCATGCTTGCTTTTCCCCGCAACAAGGATGCTGCCACTGTTCTGGTCTGTCGTTAATTAAAGAGGTTTGGCAGGTGTGACTGGCCTCCTCTGTGGTATGACAAGGGACAGGAATGGAGCCTCAGCTGGGGTACTAATCTCTCAACATGCTGAGCTTTGTTAAGGTCTCCCTAAGGTTGGAAACTGGTTGCTCTTTCCTTGTTGCTAATATCTGACTATGATCCCAAGACTGTGCCACCCACCCCCTTCTCCCTCAGAGAAGAGGCTACTTGAGACAACAGCCACTGGCATAATCTCAACCATTACTATGCACAATTCTCTGGAGAGGTGGTTGATGCTTGCTGCCACTCCCAGGTCTGGGACAAAACACCTCTGGCAGAGCCAGGTTTCCCTTTTCAAGCTGCCTCTGTTGCACTTGTAGATCTTGGGTGTATAGCCTCCCTTCCTTGTGATGCACCATACACGTGTACATCCAGCAATTTAAATGTTTGCCAACAGGTCTAGGACAAATTGATCTCTACACCTGCTTAGTCCTCCCTGCTTTCATGAGGGAAACAAAGAGAGTTTGGCAGAATTACGCACACCCTCAAAAAATCCCAAACAGTACCTCTGCTACCATGGGATCCCACAAAAATCAGAAGAGCACAGGTCCTGCAGTGCCTGTTCTGCTTGACCCGACCCTTATCTGGTCCACCCACAGAGACTCTGCTGAGGCTCTTCTTCCTAAGTGAAGCACAGGAGAAGAATTGCAGCCTTTAGTCAAAAATCCTTCTAGTTAAAGCCTTATCCTATTCGATCGTACTACATAGGCAAAGATGGTCCTCCTTTCAGGAACTAATTTGGGGACCTTTGCATAAGAGAACACATCTTATTTCTTGCAGTAAGCTTGCCATACTCTCTTCTTACAAATATTCAGACTTCTGATGCAATGGTATTTACACAGCACTTTATGGGGTATCAAGAGAGCAAGGGTGATGTCCTTAACAAACAGGACTATCCACCTCACAAGACACAAACACAGATACCAGAATTTAAGCATATAGTTTAGGCAAAGACCTGTGGTACCATGTACCCAATCACACTGCAAAGAGCAGCTTTTGAATTTAAAAACTAGTTAATCATAACAAAAGAAAAACTTAAGTTATTTTAAAAATTAAGGTAGATACACTGCCCTTGGGAAGTTGGAGTGGTTTACTGCAGTCTATAAACTGTTGCCTAATTTTTCCCTTTGAGATGCTAAACACACGCTGATTGTATTGCTCTTGCCTCAATTACATAAACACACTTTTCAGTTCCCAGCAGAGAGTGATTTTATTCTTCTTCACATACACAAACTCTATATTCTTTATCACACAGATATTCATGGTTTTTCAAATTTTATCCCAGTGCTCAGCTGATGACCCTGGTTTGAAAATGAAGATGATGTCTTTCTGCTGGGAATAGAAGCAAACAATTCAGGGGGTGTCCTTCAGCAAGGGTGGCAGTCCAGCAGAAGGGAGAGTCCTGCAACAGGCACTTAGAGGTATGGGAACATGTATTCCTCTTTGGAGGCTGCCACTGGAAAAAATTAGGGCATCTGCAAACATGAAAAAAGTCCATTTTCTGTGTTTGTGGGTAATTTTAAATGAAGAAAAAGGGATAATTAAAGAATGAAATCTCTAAGTTGTCTTGATGAAGGAACTTTCATATTCTGTAAAAACACTGCCCAAGAAGCAGAGCTAAAAGCTAGGTTTAGTTCCTAAAAGTAACTTTGGTCACTATTAAAACAAGAACGGCAAATAGAGAAGTAAAGGAGAAAGAGCAGGTGCAACACCTAAAACAGTCTCTGTATATCATAAATGTATGATGATTCATACGGTGAGCATGATCTTTCCTGAATATCCAAAGAGTAAGACACGATTCTTCACATCACATGGTACCTTCTAATAACCATAAAATTGATGAGACCCAATGCATCACACACAGTATCACAGTGGGTGATTAAAAAAGATTAATCAGAGGCATAAACTACTTGAAACACTAAGTTATCTTCATCATAAAGAAATATAGCTGCAGAAGGTGGTGAAATATTCCGTGGGGGAAGCTTGCATCATATTCTCTCGCTTCTGTAGAAGTGTTAAAATGAGGAGAAAAAAAAAAAAAGAAAACAAGAGCTTTGACTGATGAACTCAAAGTAATGGCACCATTCTGGATAGCTGTAAATCCAGATTTAAAAGCCTATACAAACATGAAGAAGATGTCATACGAGTTGGTAAGTAGATTAGCCCTCCTTGTCCTGAGAATCAGTGCAAAAATTGCCAACTTGAGAGAAATCAGGTGATCCTCCCAGGAATATCCCTACACTTTTTGTAGGCTGACAAGACCACAAATTATCAGCTCAACAGGCATACAGTGAGCTTGGTCTGGCTGAAAACAAGAGGCGAGTCCAGCAGTGCTGGAGTGAGAGTGCAGAAAATGGGAGTGCTTCACTGAGAATGTGAAAAAGCAGAGAAAAGGGAAGAAAGTACGCATTTAGAGGGACCTGCAGGTCAGCAAAAGACAAAATAAAGGTCTGAGCTGGGGTGGATTTGTACCAGAGGAGAAAGCTGAGGGGATGTAAATGCGCAGTAGTCTTAGATATGCTAGAGGCATAGCACAGTTATTTGGAGGACATGGAAAACACAGAGCACCTGAAGGTCACAGGACACTGAAGAAGAGCAAGTTGTGTCTTTTTGGACTGGGAACACCTGTTGTGCAGGAAGAAGGCAGAGAAGTAGAAATACAAGTGCCTGAAGGGGAAAGGAAAGTGCAGAAGAAGAGAAAACATTCTGTGGATAAGTTGGAGTATTACAGTGGTTTATTTTGCAGGAGTAAGCAGCACAGAAGTTGATAGTTCCATGTATTTAAGAGCGAGAAAGAGGAATGTTTATACGATGGAGAAATTACAGAGGAAGAAGAGGGATGAGAGTTTACGGCTTAAAAAACAATAGAATATTTGTTTAAGTGTTTGATACAGCTGAAATACAAGGAAAGAGAGGTGGACTCTTTTGGATATGAAACAACCTGCAGAGATGGGGTATAAAGGGCCCCAGCACCTGTGGGACTGTGAAGCTGACAGACATTTGCAAGTTGACTGAGTGTTAAGAGCATTTGGAAATCATGTGCTAGCAGAGAAAAGGGATAGTGTCTGGAAAATGTAGGGATACTGAAGTTTCTGAGGACTCCAACTGTGAGATCAGATGACTTCAGAGGATCTGAGAACCTCTAAGGAAATTTGGAGTGTAGTGAGATTGAGAGAATGGAAAGAAGTACTGGGAGAAAGGAAAGAATGGGTCAGACCCTCCATGAAGGAGGAAAATTAAGCACGGGATGGTTGAGAAGGCAGGAAACACAAAGATAGAGAGGCATAGCCAGGCATACCCAGCTATCTGCTGAAAACTTGTCCCTCCAGAATGAGATAGTCACAATTTGACAGATATCAAAACAACTGTTTTTCCATAAAAATTAAGGTAATAGAGGAAATGCATGGAAGTACAACATAAGTGTCTAAGAAAGCTAGGAAAAAAATGAAAAAACAATCACTTGGAAAAATAACCAGTACATTTAGAAGAACTAAACTCTGCTTGCTGGAGGGTTTAGGGAAGCTGGACAAATAGGTGGAAGGTTTGTCTTCATAGACTGAGGTCAAAACAAGAATGAATTTGAGGAAAGGGTTACCAGGCTCTTTGGACAGGTTTGTTAAAAGCTAAGGGGTGGAGATGGACTACATCAAGGAACGAAAAGGGTAGCAGTGCTGTTGGTGAAAGGACAGAGGGGAACCAAGGAGATCGGGAACATACCAGAGAGATGTCTGTGTTCAGTCTTGCAGTTCTTTGTACTTACCAATGTGCAATATTTAAAAGAGGCTTTTGAGCACAAGAGAGGAAAGTGCCTTCAGCTTTCAAGTACATGCTTAAAAGCAATGAACTAAAAAAAGCTTTTTTGGAGATTACGACAAATTTATTTAAAAAAATAGTACAAAGCCTTTTGGAAAAGAAGCCTGGCAGGAAAGAACATGAAAGGAAAGTGTCACTTTGGCCTCTGAAGAAATCATTTAGTGGGTCTGTGCACTGAAGGAAAGAATGTTATGGGCCTGGTCATATTTGAGCAAGTAAGGGTGTTCTTAATAGGTGCTGCACTCTATCTCTGGCAAAAAAATAGGTCAAAGATTATCAGAAGTATGGAGGCTGAAGTATCCAACAGTCACAGCTGAGTTGCCTATTTGTAAAACCTATATCTTTATCTATTACATCTATTACAGAGAGTAATTATTTGCTAAGAGGTCAGAACAAAGATAAAACTTCTATACCTCCCCATTATTGCTTCTCTTCACCAAGTTAAGGCTTCCAACCCCAACAGATACATCAGAGCAGGGACCTCTGTCCCTTCACAGGAAAGCTAGGTCCATTAAACAAATGTTGATGCTACATTTCTACTCTGAAGAAAAATCTGTCTTCCCCCCTATCAATTGGTTACTCTTCAGCTGAGACCACAAACCCCACCACTGATGAGAACTTGCAGCCTGCTTTGATCAGTGCCCAGAGACCTCAGGAGAGACCAGAGCAATGCTTTAAGCATCTAGAAATATGAAGGTTTAAGGCATATCCATTTAAGAGCAGTATAGTTGAGGCTTTTCTTCCACCAAATCTAAAGACATTAGGATGAAAGAGTGGATATGGGAGCTGCATGTTGCAGAGAATAGTTTGAGTTGGAAGGGACCTTAGAGATCATCTTAGTTTCAACCCTGTGATATGGGCAGGGACATCTTCCACTAGACAAGGTTGCTCAAAGCTCCAGCCAACCTGGCTTGAACACTTCCAGGGATGGGGCATCCACAACTCCTCTGGGCAATCTGTTCCAGTTCAAAGGCATGTTAAACATGTTTCATGTTTAAAGGCAGAGCTTGAATTTTTAATTAGACCTATAAAGAACCATTCTCCCAAAGCCTTGGCCTTGCTTTTAAAGCACATTTAAAACCATGTTTTGTCCAGGTTAACTCTGCAAGAGCAGCAGTGTCCTAGTTAGAACAGCTGGGACTGATTCAACACTGAATGGAGTAGCCCAAAACTGTGTATTCTATAGCCTTCCATGCCATTTCCCAGAAACTGTTGTCAGTAGAGGCCTGTGAGGTGGGGGGATGTTCCTGTCCTCATGCCCTTTTATGGAATTCCCTACTCTGAGGGAAGGACTGAGCATCCTTTTATGGAATTCCCCGCTCTGAGGGAGGAACTTAGCATTCCTGCCTGAGCTGGAGAATATATAAACCCAGAGTTTCAGAACCTTTGGACTACTCGTGGGATCCAGAGGAGGACTGCAGCTCACCGCTCTCAGCCAGACTGCAGCTCACCGCTCTCAGCCAGACTGAGACCACCACCCTCAACTGAACTGCAATCACCATTTTTGGCTGGACTGCAGCAGCTCTCCCACCGGCAGGTTTTTCCCCTCTCCCTTTGCTTTGGACTCTGGGGGGGCCCAGGGAGCACCGCTTTGTTTGTGCCCCGGGGTGCTGGGTTGTACATTTGGGCTTTGTGGGTTAGGGCCGGTTGCTTGTCTGTGTGGTCGTACTTATTGTATTATTTTATTAAATTGTTATTCTGACTTGCAATCTCTCTTTTGAGTTGGGTTGGTTTCCCCTGCTGGTTAACTTTTAAACCAGCACAAGGAGAAATGCTGTTACGTTAAAGGATGGCACCTCAGAAGACGAGCTCCCAGCAGAGCATGGTATTTCCAACGCCTACTAGAGGATTTATGGTTAAACATGCAACTCTTTGCATGCATCCACAACATGACTCATGAACTGGGCTCAACCCTGGGGCAACTTTCAGCAGTATGTTCAGCTCCAGCTCTGTGTTCCAGCTGGCCAGCTTTGGAAAATGAGCATTCAAGTCCCCAGGTTTGGCTAGAGACTTTGAGACCACACAGTGAACAGTCTAAAAATGCATCTGTCCTAAGAAACATTTTCCCTATCCCCCTGTATGAATGAGGCTGGGAACTGACAGGAAGACAACACACAAATTGGCAGGAATTGTAGCATGACTAGTTTGTTCAGGTTGTGCAGGCCCGAACTGTGTGAAATTTTAGACTGTACATGCTGCTTTAATCCACCAGCCAGTCCAGACGCCCTCCTTTCACAGGAAAGCTTTCATCTTTGAAGAATTAGTCTGCTGCCTTGCTCCAAATTCACCATTTTGAATTGTTCTGGTGTGTTCATTGTTCTGGTACGATTTTGGTGATGTTTAAGGTTGGAAAAAGATTGATCATAAGGGAACTCCAGGCTACAGGGGATACTGTTTTACAGCCTAACCTTTGTAGCAGCAGAGGCCGATAAGGGCACAAATACCTCATTTTAAAATAAGTCCGCACGGGACAAAGATCTGTCATTTCTTTTTAATGAGTTTCAAGTGTTTCAATGAGTTTTATTGTTTCAAGTGAAGCAAAACAATGGGGCACTTACCTTTATTCCAGTCATGCTCTAAGATATGCTCTTGGAGTTCATTTGGATCTTGAACTTGTATTCCAACACTAATGGAGAATTGTTTTCTGGGCTTAAGGATCTGAGGTTATTGAAACCCAAAGACAACACAGCCTGAGAGCTAGAGCTGTCACTAACACACTCGAATGCATAGGAAGGTAGTCCCCTGAATAGGACACAGCAGCTGGATGTTTGGTGGCTGGAAGTAGAGTTAGCTTGGGCAGATTATTCCCCCAGAGCTGCTGGTTCATACATTTTGTTACAGACTTACCAGAGTCAGTCCAGCACAACTGGAACTACCATCATTTTTCAATGGAAAACCAGCCACTGCTTTGAGGGCCAGAACTTCAGGTATGTGTATGCTATGGAAGTGACAAAAAAAAAAAAAAAAAAGAAAGAAAAAAAAAGACATTCCAAAACCAGTTTGGCATCCCAACCCCTCCCCACTCACTGACAGACCAGACAGACTCAGTAAGGTGGTGAATTGTGTTTCTTAGAGACCATTAAAAGTACATGAGCTGATTTCTAGAACATGCCAGAGGAGATTACAGTTGTGTTTATAAATGAAGTAAATAAACTGCACGTGCATAAGTGGCTGTAATGCAGCGGGCAGCAGAGTCCCTCGCTCTTACTCAGAGGGCCTTGGTGATTTGTTTTGCCCATGCACAGAGACAAAAGAGGGGAAAGGGAACACAGGAGGAGGCAACATACAACATCTAAGAGAAAGAAATGAAAGAGACAGCCTAGGGGGAACCTCAGCCCCCAGCGAGACAGGAGGAATGGGGCACCAAAGGCTTGTTTAGAAGAGTTCGAGAGAATTGCTGGTCTGGGGGCCTCAAGCTTGTATGCCTACCCCCTAAAATGACAGCAGTAAGTAGCACAAGCAGGCCCTGGCTCCTCTTCAGTAGATGCACTTCCGACCATCCATCACATCTCAGTTCCACAGGGAATTAGGGAAGTGCTCAGGGGACGTGGGCTGCTTCACTCCAGATCTTCATCTCTGCCCTCCCCCAAGGTGGATAGGAATGGAATCGCAGGGAGATGAACTTGAGCAAATGAAATGCTGGGGCATGGAAGTGAGCATGCAAAACCTAACCCCTTGCCAGATGCCCTGTGAGGAAGAAAGGGGCTTCCCCAGCACACCGAATGAAACAAAAAACATCTGCTCCTCCCATCTTTTGTGCTTTGCTCCCATCTAGGAACTCTGGTGATGTTCTCCCCATCTCCTCTCATGTCTAAAAAGATTCCAGTGTATTCTAGAACAGAAGCAGAGCTTTCTAAATTAAAGGAGCACCCCCTTTCCAGTCTAGATTACAGGCTACAGCTCAGATTGTTAAAAAAAAAGACAAGATACACATTCCTTGGAAGACTCTACAGAAACAGGGCAGCTCATTTAATGCCATGTCTGACAACACATTGAAGCAATTCACAGCTCTTGTTACTTTTGATGGAGAAGAACAAGGGGATTCCTTACAGAATGACAGAGCATTCCACACTGCAAGTTCACTTACAGCAGAGGCCACCCTGGATCTAAATTCAGGAGAATCCATAGCAAGTAGGAGGATTTCAGTTTGATAGATCTCTAGAGACCTAAGTTGCCAAACATCTGTTGTCACTTTGTAATATCCACGCCTAAAGCAGCATTTCCCTTTGAATCCCTAGGTAACCATTTCAAGTATTTTCCTACTCCTGCTGAAAGTCAGTGTTTTGTGGCAGCAGAAATGGAACAGATATTCTTAATCAGAAAGCTGCACAGCTCATTCAGTTTCATCTGGAATATCACCAGTCCCCTTCACCTCCATTTGCTACAGCAGTGAGCTTCCTTTGACATTCAACCCAGTAACACAAAAGCAAACACCCATTCCCATTCTGCCCCAAAGTCTTCCCTCAAGAAAGCTACAAGACAGTAGAAAGCTACAGGGTCCTGGCTTGTGTGTGCATAGATGAAAGGAGTATTTGACAACTCCCACCAGACTAATTATTGTTCTTTTGTTCTTTCTGGAGAGAGACTTTACTCTTACACATGCCTTTTAGATAATAACAATGCTCCTTTCACTTAACTGTGTTTAGCCTGTTGCACTTGACTGAGGTAATCATGTAGGCTCGCCTTTATAAAACTTGAAATGGCCATGTTCAGACATCAAGTCATCTGAAAATAAGGACAGGCAGAATAAATCATTTAAGTGCTCATCTCTCCATGGCTAGAGAAATCTACATCACTATGTCTAGCTTAGTCAGATGGCTCACAGGCACTGGCTATCACTAACTAGCCTTTATCTCAGAAACTCAATGAAAAGCTCAAGTCATGCTGCCACTCTTTTTAGGCAGAACACTGAAGAATCTCACATGCTGAAGTCCTTCATCCCCAAAGGCACTGCGTTAAGGCATTCTTATTTTGCAAGAGTTCACACAGGCACTATTTGACAAGCTCACAGCTGAAAATAAACCCCCAAAATTCCCTGCAGAAGAGCAGAAGCAAATAGCTACCCACTCCTCCTTATTTCCCTTTCCTCTAAACATAGAGGACCCTCCCTAAAGCTGCAGCAACTGTTGAAAAGTCTAGCAATGTTTGGTAAGCAGCTCAGAGTCCTATACAGAAGACAGATTAAAACCAAAAAAGAAATCAATGAAGAAGCTAGGTGAAAGGGAAGGAAAGGGAAGAGAAGGGAAGGAAATGAAAGATTTGGAGGCAAGAATAGACAGGCAAGGTGATAGGGGACAGTAGGTTGCAGACTGAAGGAGCTACATTTAAGTAAAAAAGTAGACTGGAGACAAAGCAATAGGGAAAAAAAAGGAAAGAACAAAAGGGCAAGTTATACCAAAGGTCCCTCAGAGACCTCCAAATTACCCACCAGGGAAGGGACTTGCCAACCCACCCACTCCAGGGAAAAGGCCCCTCATACTTACAGGTTTACCTGACCTTGCAGGCAGAATTTCCCATTTCTACGATGATGGCACCCCCAATTCTTTCTATTACTATGTAAAGTATGCTATTCCTGCAATAAGTGAGGGAATTCCAGCACTTCCACCTCCCTTCCCCAAGGACTGAAGTTAACACTTATGCAACTAAGACCCTTGAGATCTCAAACCAAAAAGGAAAAATTAAAGTAGTCTAGAGCTGGTGTTTCTTCACCCTTGAGCCTGAGCTTTTTGGTACTTACTTCCAATCACCACCACAATAATGGCACCAATCACTCCCATCATGATCATCATCTAGAGAAAAAGATTGTCAAAGAGTAATACTCAGAACAGATGGACAAGTTCACATCCTCCCTGATGGCCAGGGAAAGCAAGGAGACCCTGAAGGCATGGCAGCCAAGGCCTCAAAGTCTTTCCACAGTGAAAGAATCTTAAGCATTTGAAATGGTCATTAAGCCCCAAGTATACTTGCAAAGTCCTGCAGGAGAGGAATAACCCAGTTTCCCCTCTGCTGAAGGAGATCATGGCACTAGGAGACTCACCTTACAGTTCTTCCACCAGTACTTCCTTTTAAGTTTTGCTGCGCTACTTTCAAATATTGAGGCACCGGCCTGAAGTGCATCTGCCCGGTCATCTAGCTCTGACAGTTTCTGGTCTCGTTCCAGCACCTTGTCTACATTTACACACATTATATCAACCACCTGCAGAAGGAAGAATAGTAGCAGCAGTTGTATTGGTAAAGACAGTTGAAAAAATAAGAAGAGTAAGTCGGCCAATAACTAACGTTTAAACCAGGTCTTCAGCCCCCCATTCTCACCTGCTTTTAAAAGCTCTCAAATCCAGCAGCAAGCCAAAGCCACCCTCATCGTGAGAGGAATGATATGCTCACTCCCCGGCAACTGCAAAATTAACTTACGAGCTTCCTCTTGCTGCCCCAGTGAGGCACAAAGGCGCTACTGCACGGCAGCAGCCAAGCTGCAGGCACTGATCCCGGGAAGCCAGGCAAGGATCCCCCCACATCCCACCGCACACACACTGTTCCCTTAAAGCAGCAGGCAGGGACTAAGAGCTGTCCTGGATGCCGTATAGCTTTATTTCCATAAGAGATGCACGATATGAAGTACAAAAAAAAAAAAAAACAACTATCTGGCCTGCTCTTTGGAAGTCATATCTAGAATTAAGCAGCTTTTAAACAAAAACCAGTCAGTCTCTCCTTCAGCCTCTTTATAGGTTTATGTATAAACGCATTTCTGGCATTGGTGTGACATGAAGAGCCACCCCCGCACCGACAGACACCTGTCAAGAACATCGCTGCTGCAGAGCAGCGGGAGAAGAGCCCAGGCATCCTATGGGAAGCCAGGAGGGCTGAGCTACTGACCTCCTGCACCTGGGCCTGGGTCTGCTGCAGACGGCGATTACTGCTCAGATTAGGGGGAGCCCCGGGGGGGCCTGCACCGGGGGCTCCCCCTTCAGGAGCTCCTCCTTCGGGGGCTCCCCCTTCGGGGGCCCCGGGAGCAGGCTGCGGAGCTGGGTCAGACCTAGGAGAGACACACATGGGCAAAGAGGTCGCTCGAGAGACAGCTCCCCAGATCTACACGAAGCCCCGCGGGCCCGCACCTTCCCTGGATCCCCTGGACCGGGAGCAGGCGGCCCCGTTGGAGAGCCCGGAGCAGCGACAAGCCCAGGGGGGCTGCAGGGATCGGTCGAGGGGGCGTGCGGGTGCGGCAGTGCAGGGGGGCCGCACGGAGGTGACCGGGACACGGGGAAGGAAGGGGGAGGAACGGGGAGGGGGAGAGAGCGCAGGGGCACCCATGGGGACGCGGCAGCCCCCGGGCCGAGTGCAGCGGTGGCCGCCGGCCAGGTTGGCACCGGCCGGGAGGGGGACGCGACAGCTCCGAGCATCGCCAGCGGGGCACAGCCCACGCACCCACCCACCCGCAGCCGGCAGGAGCGCAGGACCGCCCGGGGGCGGTGCGGGCAGCCCTGCCTGCGGCTGCTGCAATGCGCCACTCGGCCCCACCGCCGCCGGCCGGGACGCGGGCTCTGCGCTGACCCCCCTCCCTCGCGCTCCAGCCACCGCCCCCGCCGCAGCCTGCGGCCGGTCTGTCGGTCGGACACTCACATGGCCGGGCCGGACCGACACCCCGCGGGACGGACACACAGCTAAAGCTCCGCACCGACCGCCAGGGAACCCCGCCACTCGCACTTATAGCCGGCCGGGCCCCGCCCACAGAGCCAGCAGCCAACCAAAAGTTGTCCCGCCGGGGACAACTGAGATCGGCCCCGCCCCTGGGCTCCTCCTCAGCCAATCAGCGCTCCGCGATTGCGATTCCACTCGGCTACGCCCCCGGACTGCCGCGGGGACAAGCCCCGCCCCCAGTGACTCCCCTGCGGGCCGCCCAATGGGAGCGGGGCCAGTGCCCCGCCCCCCGCGCTGGCCCCGCCCCACCCCTGCGGAACCGGGGGTGACCCGGCCCCCATCCCGATCCCCATCCCGATCCAGGGCTCTCCCGTGGCCGGGCGCTGCACTTTCCGGCTCCGCCAGCCCCGAGCGGGTTCGCCGCACTCCGTGTCGGTCACGCAGAGCCTGAGCGTGGTTATCCGCCCCGTCCGGTTTTTCCCTTGGAGTCCATCCCAGTGGGTGCCGTAGCGGTGGGGACTGCGGAGCGCTTCCGTAATCCCACCTCCGCAGTGTGTCTGTTGGCTTTGGGGAAGCCGCTGCCCTTGCAATTAAGAGATGGTGTCGCTGGCCCACTTCCACCATACAGCACAGCATGAAAGGGAACCTGAACAAGTCCCGTTTGAGCTTCTGCAGCCTGCTGGGGAAAATGAGGCTCCTGCAGCAGCCCCGTAAAAAGCAACGTGCTTGCATTTTTTCCCCTCTGCAGATCTGGAGAAGCCTGATGGATCAGACGGGAAGATTCTTCAGTTCAGGACACAAAAGGAGGCAGGAGGATATTGGAACAAGAAGTCTCTTCATAGAGCATTTGGTGTGGTGAGTAGGGTGACAAGCGTGGGTTCACACTTACACTGAAATACCTTTTCCTTTCATAAGGTGATACAGGACATTCATAGAAGTTTTTAGTATCAGATCTGATAGATTAGTAGATACACAAGACAGATATGTTACAGATGACAGCATGGGAACCAAAAATACCGCGGCTACAAGGTGAACACGTAATACAGGGTTGTGACTTGAGCCAGGTGATTTGCAGATGGGAGCAGACTAGCACTGGGCTCAGCAGAACTGAAGGTTTTTAAGATGAGCCTTCAGTCAAGCTGCGAAGGGACAAGTTGTGGAAGAAGCTTCTGTAGCCTGGCGACCTTCCCACCGCAGTCCAAGGCCTGTTCCAATAACCATTGCAAATAACCAAAGACAGAGCTTATGGAAGTAGTGGCCACAGAGCCCTTGCCAGCTTGGTGCTTAGGGATTAAGAGATGACAAAGGGTACAAGGTACTTGCTCTGACACTCTTCCTGTTTCATATTTTCAGCTAAGGATTTCCTACACCTACAGTTTACATATGTAATAACCCCTAGCTGCTCTCTTTCAGGTGTTTACTCAGTCCCCAGTTGAATCTGTGCACGTTTCCTGAATCCACACCACCTTTTGGCAATTCCCACAGGTCTGTCACCCTGCTCCTGAGAATATGAACTTCAGCTGTTTGAATAGAGTTTGCCTTCACTTTTCCCAGGCTTAGACATAAAGAAAGTTCTTTCCATTCATTCCCTGCCACTTCCAACCAAGTGCTGTTGGAGACAGAGCAGCGTTGCTCTGTAGCAAGATACATCAAGTCAGCCAATGTAACTCCCCAGTTACTTAGCAGCCAAATTAACAGCTAAGGGAGAAGAGGTAGGCAAATGCCTGCTCATCCTACAGTTTTTTCCCAAGTGTACAATGGTCTTTGTGATGCTGGACTAGAGGGATGCCAGCTGTGACTCACTGTAACCTCTCCACTAAAGGAACCAGTAACAGTTATGGAAAACTAGAAGCTAGAGTTTTTAAAAACAGTTAAACACCTGAATTACTTTTGCAAATCCTAACTAAATTATAAACAAAAGGCCATTTGGCCACTAAATGTCATTCATAGGGGTTTAAGTCATCATAAGTGTGAAACAGGAGACAAATCCCATTCTTAAGACAAGTTTTGATGCATTTCAACTAACATTTGGATCATTCACACTTAATCACAAATAAGCAGAGGGCAAGGGGGAAAGCAGTGAGCAGGAAGACATATTAGCAGGCACTCTTGGCACTAACTTGAAAATTTGGTTATCTAAGCTGGAGCATACTGGAATTGTCAAGTAGGATGTGAGAACCTGGGGTTAACAGAGACTAAAAGGATGCTAGAAACCTGACCAAAAAATAGAGACCCAAGGGTCAAGTTCAGAGATGCAGGCTGGAACAGATGTCTGCAAGAAGTATGTCAGAAATGCTTAATGGGGCATAGAAGAACTTCCACAGAGAAGCTCAGGGCTGGAGCAGCAGCAGGACCTTGGGAGCAGCTAGAAATACACAGCAAACGTTGTAGGAAACACTGGGAACCCAACTGAGTGAAAGCTGTCTTTATTCTGACTGCAATGCCACAAACCCACGCTCCACGTGCCGAACCCTAGCGGTGCTTCCCAGTGCGATTGAAGCGCCTGTACAAGTACCGGATCCTCTTGTTCAGTTTGTGAAGGTCCTCTACAAACATCCGATCGCCCACCATCTGCTTCTTGCGGATGCACCTCTGCAGCTCGTTCCCCCGCCAGCCTCGCAGCCACGTGGGCCCCTTGATGAGACTCTTCGGGTGGATCTGGAAGCCGCCTGAGAACAGGAGAGGAGACAGAGGTGAAGCCGGGCTCTGGAGGAGGCTGTTCTTAGGGCGGCCGGCCCAAATCCTCCCTTCCCTCTGGCTGCTGGAGGAGGCGCCAGCCCGCAGGTGGGTCCAACCTCCCTCCCCTCCTGCGGGCGGGCTGTACGTCTTACCCAGGATCCCCACGTAGTCGTAGACCCCGAACAAGGCCCGTTTCTCCGTCCAGCGGTCCACCTGCTTGCGCTTCGGCGGCTCCTTGATGAGGATTGGCCGGGTGAGCCCCGCCAGGGGCGAGGAGAGGGGCACGGGGAGGCCGGGCCGCACGGGCGCCCAGCGCGCCCCGCCGCCCTCGCTAATGCCCCGCTCGGCGCGTAGCAGCGGCGCGGCACGGCCGAGCACGGCCCGGCCCGCCGGCCGCAGCAGCAGCGCCGCCGCCGCCGCCGCCATCGGGGTGACCCCCGGTGCTCCGGGGGAAGGGAAGGGACGGGACGGGAGGGAAGGACGGGAAGGGTCAGGAAGGGCCGGGCGGCGGTGCGGCCCCTTCCGCCGGGGAGCGCCGGGACGCGCCGGTGACGTCGGGCCAACGGCCGCGAGCGCACGGGGGCCGGCGATTGGGCGCGACGCTGGCGCGCGGCGAGGCCGCCGGGCGGTGATAGGCCCGTGGAGGGGGCGGGGCGATCGCGGCCCGCGCGCGCTGTTTTGAGCTGTGGCGGCCATGGCGGGCGCGGTGGCGGTTCCGCAGTTCCAGCTGCCCCTCTCCCCCGCCGACCTGCTGCAGGACGATGGTTACGGGCACTACGTGGTGCAGGAGGTGCTGCCCATCCCAGAACTGCCGCCCGCCCTCGCAGGTAAGTTGTCCCCGCACCCCCCCCCCTCGGCCTGGCCTGGTCCTGCTGCCGGCTCAGGACCGTGTCTCCCCCGCCCTTCCCTGTGTTTTCCCGCAGCCTTCCGGGCCGCCTTCCGTGCGCGGGGCGCGCTGGCCGTGCTGCAGCACTTCGACTCGGTGTACGGCGTGCTCCAGTGAGTACGGGGGGCAGCGGGCGGAGGGGGAGGCGGAGAGGCGGGCACTCACCCCTTCTCCAGACGCTCTTTGCCCGCTGCCCTCACGCACTGTGCTTGCCCCACAGCCACTTCCGAACCGTGGGCACCGCTGTCAAGGAAGACGCCTTGGAGCTCATGGTGAAGGGTGGGTATCCGCTGTTTCTGGCCGAAGCAGGACTAAGGGAGAGGTTGCTCTCCCCTGGCAGCTCAATGATGATATAAAGGCTAATGTGACTCAGCCAGCTGGGCTGCACCCTCAACCCACTCCTATCATACGGGTCTGTAATCTTGGTGGACGATGCTGAGCTGTGCATGTTCGCTGTAAGGGCAGACCAACAGAAAATCCCTCAGCCCACATCCCTGGAAAATACATCTTCAGGATGCATCAGCTCAGAGTGAGTGTTTCTCTGAGCTGAAAAAGGGCTGTGGGGATAGGATAAGACAGCATGTCTGAGGTTTGGGTTGCAGGGGGCAGCCCGTGTTACAGTTGGTGAGATGTGAGCACACATCTTTGGTAATCTGATGACTGCTCTAATCCTCCAAGAGAGAGAATGGCTGAGGGGCCCGGCAAGGAGTGCTCATGACTTTCTGCCTCTCTTCAGTGGTGTCCCATCATTCCAATGAACTTCCTGGCATCCTGAGTGACTCTGGGCTGAGCCATGCAGACCGTGCCGCTCACCTCAATGCTCTTAAGATGAACTGCTACTTGCTGACTTCCCTGGTGGATGCCTTTGAAATGGAAACCCTCAAGAACAGTTTGTCAGAGGCAGATCCTGGTGGGAAGGTAGGCGAGGGGACTGGGGGAAAAACAAAATGATAAAAGTCAGAAAAATTTTTAAGCTTGATGAACATGAACATCTATGAGATGTTATAGCTGGGTTTATTTAAGCCTGATGCCAGCAAAAGCAGTGCATAAGGTGGAGGGCTGGCGTTTCTGTGAAACTGCATGTGGAAAACAAATGGACAATCATGTCTAAACATCAGCAGGGACTCAGATGCTGATGTTTTTTTGGTTTGCTCTTCATTGTCTGGCTGGTACTTAGTGTGCCAGTATTTTCTCACGGGTTTGTTTCTGTGGGAAGAGAGGAAGGCAGCGGATGCAGGTATGTCCTTAGACCACAGGAGACACCAGTGCTGGCCTCGGTCCAGGTGCCCATGGGTGCCAGCTGTGAGCTGTGCTGGACAGTGGGGCAGCTTGAGCCAAGAGAGAAGAATTTGGGAAAGTCCACTGTGATTCTGTGATCTCGTGCATATCACTGTGCGTCTCTTAATGCTGTAGAATTAACAGACATTTATTTTCGAGGGAAGAAGGTTGGCGATTTATTTCTTTTCTGTTATCAAGCTGCTGGTGTTATCACATTGTCTAATCTCCTTTCTAGAACA